TTTTCCACTACTGTTGGATTCCAGTTTAATATGGACAAACAATAGTATCATGTTTAATCTCTTTTGTCTGATGAAAAAACAATCTAACCGAACATATTAATAGTATAAGTAGCTGTACAATAAAGCAGGTTGTAACGTTTTTAAATAAACTATTCCACCTCAACAACAAACAGGTCGGCAGCCAACAGCTCTGGTTTTGGCTTAAAACGAAGGGGAAACGGGCTTCGACACAACACCTGCTGAATTTAATGCTAGGAAGAAAAAAACAAGCACTGAACAATGTTGTATTTGTAATAATAATATTTATAAAACCCGCAGAAACGTCACAAAGACTGCAAACAAAGTGTAAGTTCTGTGGCTAAGGTTAGATGCGTTACTGAGCTAACGTTAGTTAGCATTAGCTAATGTTTTGGACCATTATAGTCTTATTTTCGCTGCAGATCTGTTTTACACACCTCGTCCAGATCCACGTAGGGTCCAGCTCCTTCAGGAAACATCTCGTCCACTGCGGGTTTCATTACGTTTTAGTATCAGTTCAGCAGCGCTTGTTTAAGATATGTGTGTGTGTGGCTAGCTTGGATAGCTTCTCGGCACCCGTAAACATAATCGTGTGCAACATTAAACTGGGCTCGGCTGACTCTACCAGCTAGTCGCAAGTAGTCCGCTTTTTAAAGTTACACAATAAAGTGGAGTAGGAGCAGTATCCCTAACAATTAAGGAAATTGATAATAACAAAAATAATAACAAAAGATTTAAAAAAAGGAAATTGATAATAGCAATATTAACCAAATAAATAAATATTTACTATATCAGTCGTGGAACAAGTATTCAGATATTTTACTTACGTAAACGGACCAATACAACAACACATAAATACTTCAGAAGTTAAAATCCTTTACTTAAAATCATTAAATACAAAATATACTTACAGTTTCAAAAGTAAAAGTACTCACTCTGCTGTAAAGAGTCTCCCGACTGATTTATTATTGAAAATGAAATTATTAGATTGTTAATTCTGATGCATTAATATTTGAGCAGCATTTTATTGCTGTAGCTGCTGGAGGTGGAGCTAGTTTTTATCTATTTTAGGAAAAGGATTTTATTTATCTAAGGAGAGTTAATATTTATTTGGTTCAGTCCAGCCTAGGGGTCATATCCCTTCAAAGGGTCAACAGATAGATCTGAGGGGTTCTGAGATGATTAATGCAGTTGGAAAGCAGATATAACAAAGTTCTCAGAGGCTACACATCTGTTTTCATGTTTTGTACTTTTATCTAATCTTTCAATTTTTAAATATTTTATTTTACAATTTGAAGAGTTACTAAAATGTTCCCATGTGTGACAAGTCGAAAAGTTTGGAAACCACTGGTTTAATATTTTAAAGTATTTTACAAGCTTACATGTTTTTTTAATGTAAATCTTGACCTGAAAAGTAACTAGTACCTAAACTTGTCAAATAAATGCAGAAAGAAGAAGAAGAAGCAATATTTGCCTCTGAAATGTAATGGAGTAGAAGTATAAAGTACCATACAGGAAAAATACTCCGGTAAAGTACAAGTAAGTTATAATTGTAGTTGAGTTCAGTAGTTGAGAAAATGTACTTTCTTATTGCATGTCTATTTTAATTGTTGTAATATTTTAAACTCACCACTCAGTATTTTCTGTTTTAAGCTAGGGACAGAGTCGTGGCCAGAAAATTGATAACAAATTGATCAATAATATATCAATAATAATTTTAATAGCAACTCTGACTGAATTAAGGGTAACACTATATTACCAAAGTGCACTAACAAGGTAATAAGAGAATGCATTGTGAAGTCTCTACTTTATTTAAAGTCTATCACCAACAAAATAAATATGTTGAAAAATTCTTCACAGAATATATCCTTGTAACAGGAGGATTGGCAGATACAGTGACAGTGATAATAGCTGTACATTTTAAGAAACAAGAGTCACTGTATTTACTTTCTAATTATAAAGCTTCCTTAAAGTAGTAACCATTTCTTGAAAAAGATAAAAGAAGAAAAATAATAAAATTAAGGAGAAGGTTGAGAAGAAGAGATTTTACAGACATCATTTAATATTTGGGAAATGTTTTATTTATTACATGCTGATATTATACAATCCTACAAAACGCCTACTCACTCTACATTTGTATTCTATATGTTTGGCTACTCTACAAACAGCGGTATACTTGCTGTGCTCTTTCCATCGCCTCATTTAATGTCTAAATTAATTTCCTTTCTGTCAAAGTAAGACATGTATTCCTTCTTATCTAATCAGGATATCTCACCAGCTCCCTCCCTGCCCTCTTCCTGCCCCACCTGGCTCCTTCCAGCCCCCCTTTCAGTGCTCATGTCCCTCATTGGTCTCATATCCCAGGGTGTCCCCGAGGTGCTGGTGGGCGAAGAAGGCCCGCGCCATCTCGTTGATGTGGTTGTAGGCGCCGATGGATCTGAAGTATTCAACGTAGTTCCAGAAGTCAGTGGTGGAATAGGGCCAGTAGGGAAGAGCTGGTGGTTCATCATATGGTACTAAAGACACACAGCAGGTCACAGGAGACAACTTAAAGGCTCAGTCCACTCTCAGCATATACTGTTACAATCACCTTCCACTAGTTGTTACACTGGTCACACCTTCTCTAAATCTGCCCAACATTCAGGTTCAGTCAGTTCAGCCAGCATTTTGACAAATTCCCAGAATACCTATGCACAACCTTCAGAGAAGGGCTGTGAACCTGCAGCATGTGTAGGTGAAAGGAGGAGAGCAACTTTACATTTACAGCTGAGGCTGTTTTATTGTTTGAACTCAAAATCCTGCTTACATAAGTACAGCAAAATATAGACACAGGATCAAATGTAAAAGGACTAATAACATTATTAGTTTTAATGACTTTATAAACAGTTAGTGTGTGTAGTCCAGTGGTTCCCAACAACGGGGGTCGAGTCCCTCCAAAGGGTCACAAGATAAATCTGAGGGGTTGTGCGATGATTAATGGGAGAGGAAAGAAGAAAAACTAAAGTTCTGATTCAAATCTTTCATTTTTTATGACTTTTATTGTGAAATAGTGGATCGTTTATAGAGTTGTCAACAAGTCAACAAATTGGGAAAACCACTGTTTTATTACTTGTTTTTTATTTTATAAGCTTGTGTTTTTTAATGTAAAATCTTGACCTGAAAAGTAACAAACTACAGCTGTAGTATAAACTCGCATACAACTGAAATCTTTTGAGGTACTTAAGTACAGTTGCACCCAACAAAATATTGAGTCTTTAAAATTTTCCCTTCAAAAACCAAAGATGTTTAATTAGACAGTTTAATGACAAAAAATAATAACTTTTTAAATCAGCCTTGAAAACTATTTTTTAATTATACCCTAATTAAATCGGGACATATAGTGCATATCCTGCATTTACAAAACAATGCAGTTTCTTCCAGCGTTCACTTTGGAGCAACAGGTTGTTTACTTCAGCTAGAGGCCATTGTGTCAATGTCTTCACTGTGTATAAAATGTGTTCATTACAGTAAAAAACAAAAGACAGAGCTTGTTCATTTTTGGATTTCACGTGGTAGAATTAAATAGAACAGAAGAGGAAATGCAAGAGATGGAAATCTATCTGTAATATCTGAGGTATTTTGTGCTTGTTGCAAAATATGAAGGCATCTATAAAAAAAAAAGAGATGTAGTACCTCCTTCTGGGATGACTCTGGCGTCTGTGAGGAGAGAGAGAGGAACAAATTAACATTCCCAGCATTCCAAGTCTTCTCACGTACAAAGACGGGATTCAAGCTCAGAAAACTGAGCTTTCTCCCAGAGGAGTGCAGTATACCTGCTCCCTCCTCAAATATTATTTCTAACCATTTCACACACACACACAAACACACGCACACGCACACACAATCTGAAGCAAAAAGAATTCCTCCTCAGACAGAGTCCTTTTGTGCACATATGCTCTCCTATAGTTGCAGCGTCGGCACATCTGGGAGAATCCTATATGTGACTTACACACAGCTATTAATACACATGTATGCATATATGAAATTGGGGTTTAGTACTTTACAACTCTGCGTGTTTGTACTGTACAGATGAACTAAACTTCAATTGCAACACATAAACTGTTGCCTTCATGAGACTATTAAACTTTAAAGTATATAAAAAGAGAAACTCACCATTAAAATGACAAGCGAAGAGGCAGAGGAGAATACTGAGCCACACCAACAGCTTCATCTTGCCCTCCTAAATAAACAAACAGCCTGTGATGCTCTATATTTTTAACCCAATGGTTAAATGATTCCTTAACTCTTGTTTTGATGTTTACCATCATGCTGTGAGAGCAAAACTACATTTAGATATTCAAAACTTTAGCAAATGTTTACCTGTAAAAGGTCTGTGAAGCCGTGCAGAGAGATGCTGCTGTTCATCCGCTGGCTGAATGTGGTGTGTGAGGCTCAACGGAGGAAGAGCCAGTGGACCTTCACCACACACACACACACACAAAAACACACACCGCCAAGCCCAGATTATACTGTATTTACACAGAGAAGTCCTTCCCAGGTGCCTGTAGGTGCACACTTTGCCCTCTCACTAATGATGTTACACGGATTAGCACTTCACCGAGAATACATTTTTTCTCTCGCTTGATTTCAGAGAAAAAGTTCAGACAAGCCAATTGTAATCAACATTTTTGCCACTGGAGAGGATTTTGTGCTCAAACTTACATGCCACAAATCAGTTTTGGTTTGTTTGATTGATTCTGTGTGCTTCGCAATCAGCAACAATCAGAGCAGAGACCTAAACAGTGCAACCTTTCTGCTCTTGGTCAATGAGCAGTCATAGGCTACATGCCACAGTAGCTGTTTTCTTTCCCACAGTAACCTTTTACCGTGAAACCTTTGGATATCTTCTCATTTTGGACAGATAATGATGAGATTCCTCGAGTCTACTCTGCATCAAGAGTCGGTACAAAGCTCACCAGATAAATGATAAGAGTGACCAAACATCTGCTTCATGAGTAACTTTAATAAACATAGAACTCACTCTCGTGTTTTCTGCGTGTGTTTGTTTCATTGCAAAATTGTAACATGTCTTACTAGAATATTAAAATGCAGTTTACACACTTAACTTCTTGGTTAAAACAGAATTAAATTATTACAATATATTCATTGCTGTAACATATAGATTCAACGGGTTTTGTCAGGAATATGAGGGACAGTTTGAAAAATACAAGGTACAATACAATTTTACTTCACTTTTTAAATTGATTTTTTTCTTACATAATTTCTTTTTCAGCATCTTTGAAATGCAAAAAGAAAAATGAACAAGGCAGCAACAGTGAGATGCAGATACATGGGATTTTAAAATTAAAGACACCGGTGATGAGGAGATTGTGTATTTAATTTTAAAGCTGGGGTGGGCAATTTATTTCAGAAGCATTTGTTGTTAATTTTTTTCAAATTCTCTTAACATCCAGACAGCAATCAATAAATGTTCTGACATAAAAAATTATTAAACATTCGGTATTTGTCGCAGGACTGTGATCAGCATGCTGTTATGTGTTTTAGTGGAGTGGCTTTGCACGGAGGCCTGAAGGGAGGGGGTTTGGGATTTCTTCAGTTGGCTACCTTCAAGAAGTGGCTGTCTCTTGCTAGTTTCTCCAACATTGCCCACCCCAGCGTTAACATTTGGACTCCAGTATGTTTGCCCCATCAGTAAAGTCTTCACGAATCCCTAGTTATCCTTGCAGCCCGTCTGATCTGTGGCCTTCATCCTAAACAGGTCGATACCTTCGTTGAGCAGGAGCTGTCTGCCGTAGTTCACGGTCTCTGTAGGTGGGAAGCGTGTCCGGCTGAGGATCCAGGCGTATTCGACATGGAACAGTCGGAGGATTTCCGTGCAAGAATACACAACGGACAGGCTGGCGTAGTCGGTGGTCAGAATCCAGTAGGGGCTGTAGGGAGCAACTGGTAAAAAGAGATGATGATCATGATGATGATTATCATTATTTCTAAAGCAGAGTTTTTAAATTAATTTACAAAGACACATATTGGGGCCAGGCCAGCGTTAGGGTAAGTTTAAATCTTAACATGAAGATAAGTTAAGATTTAAACTAACCCTAACGCTCACCATGGCTCACAGTAGAAGTCCTGCGTGAGAGAGGGCAGATTGAGTCTGGGTCACATTAAAAACTATACCAGTGATGTAATGTTCAAACGACTGGAAAAGGCCATAAACATGTCCTGATTAATAGTGATTCACAGGCAGACATGCTCAATTACATTGCAAATGCTCTGAGGCTGCTGCATCATGTGTCAGCTGATATATCATCATTCACAAGGTATTCAGGCTGGTTAAGAGCTCAAATGAGCCTTAAGGGAATTTGTACAATTTTGTAACTAACTATATAATGATTTTAGAATTATAATTGCCTTGCTTATAACAATAAAAAGCAAGACAAGAAGAAAAAGAATGAGAAGAGGAAGAAGGCAGTCTAAGAAGACAACAGCAAAGTCGACAGAATCATATGAAGAGATACGATGAAGAAGAGGACTTACAATACGAGAAGCCGACTCCAAGTTTGGCAGGTTCTCTCGGGTCTTGAACCACTGCTGTCCCTTCTGCTAACCTCACCTTGTCCTTACTGAGAGAAAAAGACAAAGAGACAATTCATTTAACTTTATTAAACTAATATGAGGGATTCCCCAAATCAGCAGACGTACATGCAAAGTTTTCAAGAGGGGAACAAAAAATATTAGTAAAAAAAAATCCACCCGTAACACATTTTCACAGAATCAATTGTCAATCATCTCCCAGCACACAGAAGGTTTTGTCTGCAGTCTTTCCTGTCTGATAATACGTCAACCACAGTTGTGCCACTACCAGAACAAATTATTTATTCCGTCATATAAAACTATTATTTGAGTAATGCAATTTTATTTACATTTGAGCCACTATTTCAATCTGTATTTCCATGTGTCAGTAATCTGAAAATGTTCTCCTGAACTGTAAAAGCACTTTGTAATGTCTGTTTCAATATGAGCCCTATAAATTAATCATTGATTCACGGCACACGGATTTCACATCTTCAGAATCCCGAAAAAATTAATTTTGTACAAATCGTTTTATAGCTTTAGAGTTGCTGGTAGGCTACATTTTGTTCCCTTCGGGCAGGCTAGTTGTGTCAAGGTTCAGGTTAAATTTATTTGTCATTCTAAAACACAATGAAATTAAAGCTGCTGCCTCATTTACGCTACACACACAGAACAGAAATATTTAACATAAAAATAAAAACAATACATAGTTACTTACATAAACAGGTAATGTGCAAAACCAGCATAACAAAGCTAACCAGCTGCTGGCTCTTGCTTTATATACAGTATAGCGTGCAGACATGAGAGTGACACAGGTGGGTCTGAAAAGTGAAGCCAACGTGGAACTGTCTTAAACCTGCATTCTTTCTAACTGCCAGCAGAGGGCGACTCCACTGGTTGCAAAAGAAAGTCAGATTGTATGTAAGCTTATAACAAACTGACCCTACGTCTACACTTGATTTATTAGCTCAGTAAACACTTTCCTGATGGGTTTATGGTCTCAGTCGCTAGTTTCAAGTCTTCTTCAACACAGCATGGTGTTTATTTAGTAAATTATGATCCCATTTAGAGGAAAACAAACGATAAAGCAGGGGAGGCTTTAGGGCGGGGCTGTCTTGTCCATGGAGACCTGTCAATCAGTATAGTGGCGACTTGGATCCACTGCAATGTGTACATTTAACTAACCCTGAACTTGTTTTTGGGTGCTGTCTGTGTTTAAGAACTATGAATCTTTCAAAGTGTGTTTTCAGTTCGTGGAAGTTAACTGTAACGGTATGGTTGCCTAAAAATATCTTGCTCAGTGTTGGGTTGTACTAAAAGACACTCAGGAGTCGTCTGTTAATTTCTTCTGGTAAGTACATTTTGTTTTGAGCCTGTTTTTCTAGCTAATATCTCAGTTAACATAAATTACAGATGCACCTTGCTAACCATGCTAGCTAGCGCCACCTTCCAAATAAGGTCGCGTCTGCCAAAATGCCAAACTTGAAGCTTGAAAACAGTAATCCACAAACCAGTGGGTGACGTCACGGTGGCTACATCCACTTCTTTTATATAGGTTTCATGGTTTGGCACTGACCTTCTCACCTAACTCTCAGCAAGAAAAAGAAGAGGCGTATTTCTGAAAATGTTGAACTAGTCCTTTAACGGAGCAAAGAGCGAGAGAAAAAGTCAGTAAAGTTGTAAAGATCATGTACACGGGTGCAGGAATTTCTGATACTCAACATCAAGTCAAAATCAATAATAAAAACCCACCAATACTCACTAGAACTGAGAGTTCAGCACCTGAATGGTACCGTCTTTCCTCACGGCGTAGTTGGCCTCGATGCACTTTCCTCTCTCGAAGGAAGCAGGGAGTTTCTCGATCTCATACCACCTGCCCAGATACTGTCAACAGAGAGATACCGTTAGATCTGACAGTATATCTGTGTGTAATGTGTGCATGAATTAATGTTTTTTTTTTTTTTTTTTACCTGTTGGAGGTTGAAGTTGGGCTGCACCTTCGGAGTAGGACAGGGCCCCCAGCGATAGGTCTGTGCGGACACCAGAGGGAGCAGCAGGAGGAGAAGGTAGACAGCGGACATCGTTCCTTCAGGACAGGCGGGAAGATTATAGAAGCTGAAAGGTAGACGCATATTAAGTTTACAGGTTGCAGGTTGTGTAAAGCCTTTTAAGTGTTGCACTAATGCTGCATTCACACGCTCCTCAAACGGAGAGCTGTTCTTCCGACTTCAGTGTGTTCATGAGCTTCAAGTCATTGTAAATTGACCCTTCTTCTCACTTGATTTTTTTTACCTCAGTAAACACTTTCCTAAAAAGTTTATGGTCTCAATCGCTAGTTTCAAGTCTTCTTCAATACAGCATGATGTTCATTTTGTAAATTACGGTCCCCTTTACAGGAAAATAGTTGATTGTTTTAGGGTGTTGCTACCTTGTAACAGGGAAAGGTAAGACAGGTCTAGCTAGGAGTCATTAGCTGTCCCCACAAGTGTTCACCAACTGTAGCTTTTTCCCTTATGTAACTGTCCTTGTTAGAGAGACAACAGTTGGACTGATTAGGGAGAGACAGTAGCTCAGGCGTCTGGCAATGTTGCATCTGACAAGAATGTTTACAAACTTAATGGCTCCATAAATTAGACGTAACACTGGAGTCTAAACATCAGACAGATTTGTCGTTCTAGGTTAAGGCCATCTGAAGATGACCTAAGAGGGAAGCCTACAGGAAGTAGCGAGAAGCCAGAAACATAAAAAGGGACCAAAAGATAAGACACATGCATCTGGTGTGGGAGACCCGGGTTCAAGTCCCACTGTGACATCCACCAATGCGTCCCTGAGCAAGACACCTAGTTGCTCCAGAGGCGTGCGACTTCTGACATATATACCAATTATAAGTCGCTTTGGATAAACATGACACTGTTTTTTTTTTGGCCAAGTCTCATTAAAACTTTGCTGTGTAAAACTTCATCAGTCTCTGAAAACCTTCTTCCTCGCACCTGACAGCCGGCTCACTAAATTATTATTATATTATTATTATAATTTATACAGCATCTGGGTGAAGGCTTGTTGTGTATGTCATGTTGCTATCCAAGTATGCTGTTTGAAGCTTGAAGTGATTTAAATTGTGAATGAAATGTTTTGTGCTTTTTGTTACAGGATTAAACCATATAATAATTTGGCCTTTTTGGGGTTAATTACCTCACTTACTTCAGATCATGGAGGGTGCTGTCCTGCTACTTTTTCATACCTTAAACATATTTACATTTTAAGCGACTAGTTTTGTAAAATGAGACAGGGGTGAAAAACATGCCAGAAAACTCTCTCTCTTTGCATTCACTGGGCAGCTGATCATGACCTTTTCCTTTGTCTCTTTACATCTTTTTCTTTTGTCTAGTTTACATCACATGTTGCCACACCTGTTCTTCTGGTTTCATGTAACAGGTGTACCTGCACACACACACAGGCCAATAGGCTGCTTCTGCTTCAACTATGTAACAGTAAATACAATAAACATTATATTGAATAGCTTCTCAAGAGACTTCAGCCTTATGTTGAATACAAAACTGCAGTGGTGAAATATAATTAGGCCCATAGAGGATAAAACCAGGAGGAAAACAAGTTCAAAACAATAATCAGTGCAGAGAGTTACATAAAACATTTATCTTGTTGATGCTACATTTTAGTCCCATTAGCCATTAAATGAAAACTCCCTTACCTTGGGTGTATGAGGGTTAAAGATGTCAGGTGGAGGTCTGAGGCTGCAGCTCGCTCACTCTCAGCTGCTGCTGCTGCTGCTGACGATGAATTCTGTCTCGAGCTCTCCGGACAAACACAGACTAGTGTTCACGTTCACGTTATGTCACTCCGACAGCACGAGGCAGCTCGTTAGCAAAATTCCATTTTCACTACGTGGGAATGTGCGCGTGATGATGCCAGACACTGTGATAAAGGGTTAAATATTTCATTCGTTCAATTCACACAGTATTTTGTAGTTTTAAATCTCTATTAACGTCTTCGTCACTGTCGAGTTTTATCAGAACAACGTTTTATTATTTATTTATTTATTTATTGACATTTTTCTCAAGTTACAATGGGTAGGGTTTGAAGTGTTGAATAGTTAAATCATTAATTTAAATTTAAATGTACGTAGGTAATCTGATATATATATATTATAGTTTCTGTATTTTTATGTGCTTTATTTTATATCTTATTTAATTTTATTCAGGGCATTTAATCCATTTTATTCTCTATATTTTATTTGCTGGAATTTATTCAATTGTTTAAATTAAGGTTTTTTTTAATGTAAAGGCTGTGAAGGCTAATATATCAATAAAGTGTATTATTATTGTAAGTGGCAGACATGGTGGCTACTTAATGATACCACCAGATGGCGCCAAAACAAGAATAAAAATATAAATCTACCATAGACTGTGAAATCTACACATACAGTAGTAACTTTCCATGATTCTTATGCTATCGATGTGTAGTAGTCTGCTTTAACTGTCTTGAGAGAACTGATGTTTATAGTGAAGTTTATGTCCATGCAGATTAATGAGCGCTGTCCTCTATAAATAAAACAATCAATACATTTTACTATTACTCTTTCACACTAGAAGTATATTTTATTCTCATTTATTTATCAATTCAACTTATCAATTATATTTTCTGTTAAATTCATCTCCATATGATGATCAAACTGATGTTTCAAAGCCTTCAGCACATAAAAAAGGGAAAAAAAGACTATAAATATATTTTTTATTTGTTTAACGGCCACATTCCCAGAAACAACACCCGGGACACATAAAAGTGTTATTCATACATACATCTGCTCTTGTTTAGTACCCTCTTTATTCTGAAATCCAAATTTATTTAAATTTATTTATTTAAAAAATTACTTTTCAAAATACTGTCAGCAAGCCCCCAAACACTTCCAGCCAGTTCAGCCGCCTCGCACTGATTGAAAACAGCCAGAGACTTTTTGTCAAGCAAGAGATTTGAGAATCAGGCCTTCTGAGTTTTTCCTGTGGCGGACTGTCACATCACGAGGATTCAAGTTGATGTTTGTGTTCACCTGAGAGAACAAACAGCAGGTGTTTAATGAAAAATAATCTTCAGGTGGTGAATAAACCTCCAGGATCTGATAGATTCACTGACCTCGGTCATTTAGTTTGATCAGTCTCAAAAAGGAAAACACAATGTTGATACACAGTGAAGCTTTGTTTGTTTACTACCACGTTAAAAAAAGTTATTCTCTAAACCAGTAAATTACAGTGGGTACGGAAAGTATTCAGACCCCTTTAAATTTTTCACTCTTCGTTTCATTGCAGCCATTTTCCAAAAATCAAAAAAGTTCATTTTATTTCTCAGTAATGTACACTCAGCACCCCATCTTGACAGAAAAAAAAAACAGAAATGTAGAAATTTTTGCAAATTTATTAAAAAAGAAAAACTGAAATATCACATGGTCATAAGTATTCAGACCCTTTGCTCAGTATTTAGTAGAAGCACCCTTTTGATCTAATACAGCCATGAGTCGTTTTGGGAAAGATGCAACAAGTTTTTCACATCTGGATTTGGGTATCCTCTGCCATTCCTCCTTGCAGATCCTCTCCAGTTCTGTCAGGTTGGATGGTAAACGTTGGTGGACAGCCATTTTCAGGTCTCTCCAGAGATGCTCAGTTGGGTTTAAGTCAGGGCTCTGGCTGGGCCATTCAAGAACAGCCACGGAGTTGTTGTGAAGCCACTCCTTCGTTATTTTAGCGGTGTGCTTAGGGTCATTGTCTTGTTGGAAGGTAAACCTTCGGCCCAGTCTGAGGTCCAGAGCACTCTGGAAAAGGTTTTCGTCCAGGATATCCCTGTACTTGGCCGCATTCATCTTTCCCTCGATTGCAACCAGTCGTCCTGTCCCTGCAGCTGAAAAACACCCCCACAGCATGATGCTGCCACCACCATGCTTCACTGTTGAGACTGTATTGGACAGGTGATGAGCAGTGCCTGGTTTTCTCCACACATACCGCTTAGAATTAAGGCCAAAAAGTTCTATCTTGGTCTCATCAGACCAGAGGATCTTATTTATCACCATCTTGGAGTCCTTCAGGTGTTTTTTAGCAAACTCCATGCGGCTTTCATGTGTCTTGCACTGAGGAGAGGCTTCCGTCGGGCCACTCTGCCATAAAGCCCCGACTGGTGGATTGCTGCAGTGATGGTTGACTTACTACAACTTTCTCCCATCTCCCGACTGCATCTCTGGAGCTCAGCCACAGTGACCTTTGGGTTCTTCTTTACCTCTCTCACCAAGGCTCTTCTCCCCCGATAGCTCAGTTTGGCCGGACGGCCAGCTCTAGGAAGGGTTCTGGTCGTCCCAAACGTCTTCCATTTGAGGATTATGGAGGCCACTGTGCTCTTAGGAACCTTAAGTGCAGCAGAAATTTTTTTGTAACCTTGGCCAGATCTGTGCCTTGCCACAATTCTGTCTCTGAGCTCTTCAGGCAGTTCCTTTGACCTCATGATTCTCATTTGCTCTGACATGCACTGTGAGCTGTAAGGTCTTATATAGACAGGTGTGTGGCTTTCCTAATCAAGTCCAATCAGTATAATCAAACACAGCTGGACTCAAATATAGGTGTAGAACCATCTCAGGGATGATCAGAAGAAACAGAAACAGCACCTGAGTTAAATATGAGTGTCACGGCAAAGGGTCTGAATACTTATGACCATGTGATATTTCAGTTTTTCTTTTTTAATAAATTTGCAAAAGTTTCTACATTTCTGTTTTTTTTTCGGTCAAGATGGGGTGCTGAGTGTACATTACTGAGAAATAAAATGAACCTTTTTGATTTTTGGAAAATGGCTGCAATTTAACAAAGAGTGAAAAATTTAAAGGGGTCTGAATAGTTTCCGTACCCACTGTATATATTACTAAGACACTACCTGGAATACTTAAATATTTAATGTCCCAATACCTTAAAAATGATCATAAATATGAATTGGATGGATTTAGTTTGTTTGTTTTTTTTGTCACAAAGTGCAATCCACTCCCATCCAGTACTCAAGTAGTAATGACAATGTGTACTATAATAAAAACTATACTTACTTTCTTATTATTCACATCAGCATGTCATGTCATACTCAACTTATAAAATTAAAGTAATACCGGGATGTTGAACTGCAGCCAGGTGGACTATTTCTAACATTTCAAGGTGATGAAATGGAGAAGTACCTCTGAATTACCCGTCAGCCACACACTGATTCCAATTATTATCATTTTATGTGCATATTTACTTTTCTATTACTGCAGTAAACTAAGCATCAGGCTACTTTCACTCAATCAATGAGACCCTTTGTCAGAAAAACACAAAGCATAAAAATAAATACTTTGGCAAAGATTAAGACTTCTTTTTATTCTTTACAAATGTTTCTAGGGTGAAAAACAATGACAGCAAACTGACACAAGGATCTAATAAAGATTATTTATTTCCAGTGTTTGTTGAGGGAGGGCATTGCACCCATGTGTTGCCATGTTCACCATTTCAGAAAACAATGTCTCATGCAGTTTTACAGATAAAGTTTGTTGGGGTTTTTTTCTCCCAGGTTTTAAGCGCCCATGCATTTTACTGCACTTGAAAAGATACAGAAAGGGGAGTAAAACTATAACGAAACATAGACACAGACATATGAAGTTGGACGCTCTGATGTCGCTGTGAAAGACCACAAAACAAACCTTCTCTGGAATGCCTGTGACGTTATTTTCTCCTAGAAACTGTCGGTAAAAACAAAAAACAAAGAGGCACTTTTTCTTTTTGAGATAAAAAGAATTCACACATATGTAAAAACTGACTTTTTGGGCTATAACTGGACAAAGTTTTTGGAAATAAAAACTACTGTACCAAGCATTACATACTCTAGTATCAGCATTTCATTACTGTTTGTTTTTATTTTATTATTCAGTCTTTAATAAAACTATAATAAATCCTCCGGTCCTTTGAGCTAATATCTGGCTGTTGTGAGTGTACTGTGAAAACACAAACTTCCCACAGCACCCAGCTCAGAAAGCAGCTCTCAGTTACATCCACATACTTCAAGTACAGGCAAAAAAAAAAAAAAAGAAAAGAAAAAACACATACATGTTGTTTTGAAAATGACAACATTGTCACAACCAACTAGTGTTAGTCCAAAGAGAGTAATACATTCTTCATACCGCTTATAATAGGAAGAACTGATCCATGATTCCTTGAAAAAAGGCTTCCTCCTGCATTCTTCAGTCTGTTTATGTCCTATTAACACCACACATCATCTGCAAAGTCACATTCTTGCGTTTGTATGTTTCCATCTTGCAGGAGGAAGTCAAGAGTTTTTTTTTTCCACGTCTGTTCCAGTATGGCCAACAAGTCAGTGGAAATTACACACATCATCTCTTCAGCATTATTCCAGTAACAATCACATGAGCCTATACACAGTATGTACAGTAGATACATAAAGTACACTATGTAGAAAAATATTGTGCAGTAACCTTCGCTAAAATACCCACATTCATACTTTAACGCATTCATACTCTGTTTCTAATCCTCTCAGACACACCGGACAAGACCACGCCTGCCGTTTCACAGATACTGGTAGAACCGTGAGCGGACAACTTGTGCTCCAGACAGTTTGTGTGGGTGAGCGTCAGCACCGAGGCTGCCTTTGTTTTTGCCTTGCAGCCCGCTACCGTTAAGCTGCTCCCCTGCTAGCGGCTGTGCGCCCGGGGACGCAGAAGGAGGAGGTCTTTCAGGAGCTACGTCCTGGGCGTCTGGGTGATCATCCTCAGGGACGGCTTTGGGCGCAACCTCACCGCTCGAATCAGAGCCTCTGCACCGCTCGCGAGCGATCCAGTC